GAGAGAGAGAGAGAGAGAGAGAGAGAGAGAGAGAGAGAGAGAGAGAGAGAGAGAGCACAAGCCTGAACAGAGCCACAAAGGAGCCCGGCAGCACTGGCCAGCTGCCATGGAGACAGCTTCTGTGAGGAGGTATTTGTGAAGAAGCAGCCAGGGGGTGGGGGAGATGCTGGAGGACAAAGCAAACTCCTTATTGACCTACAGCTTCACCCAACAAACCTGAACGTGCTCATGTACCTTTCTACACCTTCAATTTAATTTTTAATATTCCACGAAAAAAATCAAATATCTATGGTGTAGTATTATTTAATCAATAATTCCCCATGTATATGAGCAATCACAGTGGAAATTCGTCCACTTTTCCACTTCTAGCCCCTAGTTTCTCTAGACCTCTTTTTCTTTTTTTTCTGAGATGGCCTTTCCTGCCCTACCCCATGGAAATCCCAAGATGGCCCATATACTGGCTAGTGCATGGGTAAGCCAAGTGAAAGCGTATTATTCCATCCTTGCCACAGTATTTCATTGTTTAATATAGAGTTCTTCATTATTCATAATGTACTTATCTTGGAGATTATTCCAGAACTTCTAAAATAGGCTTTCTTTGGCTGCCTTATTTCTAACAACTATCTGATATTCCAGTCTGTGATTGTGCCGTCCTTGGTTAAACTGTTTGCAGTTCTGTGGACTGACTTGTGTGCCCTTCCGTATATTGAAGTCCTAACATGAAGTTCTTCAGAACATGATTGTATTTAAAGACCAGGTCTTTAAAGAGGTCAAATGAGATCATTGGTATGGTGCTGTGGCCCTCAGAAGAACCAGTTAAGGAGTCTGCAGTGCTTAAGAGCATTCCATGCTCTTGCAGAGGACGTGAGTTCAGTTCCCAGTGCCGACATCTGGTACCAGACATCTGCCTGTAACTCCAGTTCCTGGGGATTTGACACCCTCTTTTGGCTTCCAAGGGGGCCTACACACACATGGCAGACACACACACACACACACACACACACACACACACACACACACACACACACACAAATAATTAGCCAGGCACAGAAGGAAGTCATGAAGAAAGGATGCCCACTTATCACCAAGAAGAAAGGTTTAGTGCACACCAATGGGAGACATCCCCAAGCTCACACGTTCGCATCCAAAAACCACATAGTATACCTAGAGATGCCATCCACTTTCTATGAACAGATTGTGTTCGGTTTGCTCCTGCTCAGTTTTCCAAGAATACACGCCGCTCTAAGAGTTGGTTTCTTGAAGACACTCGTTGGTACTGGTTGGCATGGAAAGAGGCACAACCCCCTCCCCCCATGAGGATGGCAGGTCAGAGCACATGCGGAAAGGCACTTGCTGGCTTCGTGTCACGCTGAGTCTTTCTCCACCTCCTGACTTCATTGTATGATGATAAAAATAACCGAGATTACTGTTGACTAGTCCATATGTGACCCTGTCGTTTACAGTGAGCCCCGACTGTAAAGGGTTTCTAGCTTTTCTAAGACACAAGTGTTTGTTCTTGAGTGTCGTGAACCTTGGGAGACCACAGGGAGCTTCAGGGCTGCAGGGACTCCTGAAAAGACGCAGCGTGCCGCAGAGGGTCCTTCTGTGATCCCACTGCCCAGAAAGAGCTAGTGCTGCTTTAGAAAACCGTTGTCTGGCATCGCCTCTGTGCTTCAAGCACGTTTTCTTTTCCCACGAGCAGTCAGAGGCACGTGGACACCGGCACCATTCTCATTCTGCGTTACAAGGGATGGGAGAGGAGCTGTTAAGGGGACTGGGGGGGGGGGAGGCGTCGTGACGTCTAGCTGAGACGGCTTTGGAAGAGGCATCTGCCTGTGATCGTCCTCTCCGCTGTGTAGCCTTGTCTTGCTGGCCAGGCTTCTAATTCACTTTCCGTTTTTCTGCCTCTGCTTCCTGCTCACACCGTTTCCTCTGCCTGGAACCTTTCCAGTTCTGCTCACCCTGCAAGGCCCAGGCGGAGACGATGTCTTGGGAGCAGCCCCCCTCGTCACCCCGGTGGAAAGAGCCCTTCTCCTGCCTCTTAGGACACTGCTTACATCTAGGCAAGCCGCCAAAGCAGTAGCCTCATAGTTCCATCTGAAACATCACCCTGCTCTGTGTTCGCAGCCTGTGTTTGCCAGGACACAGTCCTCGGGGCCTCTCACGAGGTGTGAACCTCTGGTATGCTATTTCTCGGACCCTGGCCTTGCTTGCTGAGGCAGGTCCTTTTGTTCCCGTAAGGTCACCTTCACCGTTTGAAGATTCCTCCGAGCGGCCTGTGTGTGGTCTGGACACAGCCTCCTGACTCTAGCTCTGGAGCCTTTAGGAGCTGACCTCCAGCTGGCCTCTGTATTGAGCTGAGGAGTGGCTGGCTTTCACCTCAGGGCTGTTCTCTGCCTCATGGGTCTAGAGCAGAGAGGCGCTGCTCCATTCCGCTCACAGCATTTTCAAGCCCGATTAGCTCTTCCTCTTTACTTTGCTGTCCCCTTCCATCTAGAAGGCATTGGTGAGTCCCAGAGCCTGTACTCCGCTTCAGGGTGCCATCAAGGGTCCAAGTTCTTCTTGTCTGACTCTCTTTCTCCTGAGTGTGTGTAGGGGGAGGGAGGGTCTTTTCCAGGAGACCTCTTAGCACTAACGCTCTGCAGCAGATCTCAGTGCAAGCATTGTACCCTTGCCCCATAGAAACCTCCCGTGATCCTACAGTGGATGGGTGAACAAACAACATACAGACTGGGACTCCAGAAGACCGAAGCCTTCAGTGGCTTTCCGGGTGTTTGCTGTTGTTGTTTGCTTGTTTGTTTATTTTTATTTTTTTAAAGATTTATTTATTTTTGCTTTATATGTATGAATGTTTTGCTTGCTTGTATGCACAGGCATCGTGTGCGTGCTCAGTGGCCACAGAGGCCAGAAGAGGGCACCAAATCCCCTAGAACTGGAGTTACAGATGGCTGTGAGCCACTAGACGGGTGCTGGGAATAGAACGTGCGTCCTGTGTAAGAGCAGCAGGTGCTTTTAACCATTGAGCAATTTCTCCAGACCCAATTCCCGCCCCTCCCCCAGAGACAAGGTTTTGTTGTGAAGCCCTGGCTATCCTAGAACTCTCTTGTAGATCAGGCTGGCCTCCAGCTCAGAAATCGGCCTGCCCCTGACTCCAGAGTGCTAGGATTAAAGGAATAGACCACCACCGCCTGACCCTGGTTTCATTTTTAAAGCTCAGTGTATTTACTTTCATTGAATAAGACCATTGAGTTAGACCAGTTTAGCCGGGGTGGTTCTGATGAAAATGGGGTGGGCTGGCTCCTGCACTCAGCCACCCTGTCCCAAAGTCAGCAGGGCTGAGCTTTGTCTGAGGAGGGACATCCTGGACCTGGTCCTCCACAGCCAGTCACATCATGTACACGAATTAAAAAGGGACATTTCCCACTCAGGAGGGACACAAGTTCACTTTACATAGGCCAACACAGATCCCAGCTTAACCTGGCTATGGATTTTTTTCTTCCTTATAGTACAGGGCTCCTAAGACCCCTTCCCCCCACAACAACCCCCTCCCCCCACACACACACATGGCAAGTACTCTCTCACTGAGCTGTACCCCCAATCATTCCTTTCCTTTAGAACTTTTTGAGTCGAGATCATATTGAGTTGCCCAGGCTAGCCTGGAACTGTAGCCCAGGCAGGCATAGAACTTACAGTCCTCCTCCTCCAGCTTGCCAAGTAGCTGGGATCACAGGAGTGTGCCCCCAGGCCTGGCTGCAATTTGTTTTCCCCTTTCTTTGCTCTTGGCACTTCTCTGTATTTCACCCCCAGGCTCTGTGTGATTAATATTCCTCCCCCTTCCTTCCCACACTTCCGTTCGTAGAGACTCTTTCATCCTGGCAGGCAATGGCCACAAGCATCTAAGGAGTGGTCAAATGGGCTGGGAAATAACCAGAGGCCTGAGGCTGCTGTAGGTGATGTGAGTGTGGTCTCACCCACACTCCCTCTGAGCTTTAGGTTTTCCATTCAAGCTCATGAATGCCACACCCAGGGCATTCCAGCTGAGCTCTCTGTAGCTGAGCCAGAATCTTTAGACAACTGGAGAAAAAATGTGCTGAAGAAGCAAGACCTCCATACTGTCATCCTGTGGGACCCGCCCCAGTAGCCTCAGCGGGGGCCATCATCCCCAGGGCAGGAATGGGCAGCCCTGGACCATGAGAAGTGTGAGTAGACACCAAAGCCTGCTTCCTTTCTTCCTGTCCCTACAGAGCTGGGAATGACTGAAGAATGAGCCAGCATCGAGGATACAGGATGCATTTGTCAAAGTGAGAGAGGCGTGTACGATCACTTGGTATGACTTGAGATTTCTGCCTTATAAAGGAATGTCTCTGCCCTTCTGGGAGATCAGTTAAGAGATGTTCAGCTTCAGCAATTTCTCTACCAAGGCCGCACATGGTAAACCCCAGACTGCTCCCATTTGCCAGGTAAGGGGAAACAAGTCTATCAAAGGGAAACCAAACTGCAAACTGATACTCAGAAGCCCTCATGCTTCAGTGATTCTGAATTGTAGGATTAAATAAGGAGGCAATTCACAAGCCTTAATGAGCATAAGCCACATTTCCAAAGCAGTCTATAGCTCAAGAAGCAATTTCTCATGTCTATCAGACAGCGTTCAGTGCAGATACACTGAGCAGGGGAGGCAGAAAAGGAGTTAATACAGGGGAGTAGGCACTGACAGCATGTCTGCAAAGGCTAGAGGAACAGGCATCAGGCTGCATCTCCAGGATGACTTCCACAACTGTATCCCAAAAATGGCTCTTGCTGAGACATTGTCTACCTCTGCCATAGTCAGAAAGCTACAACCAGAAGGGTTGGCTTTAAGCCAGATATCAGTACTCCTGACTCCAGTCCCACAGGACTATTGCTGCACACAAAGGATATTTTTAACCAGTCCTTTTAACCAGTCCTCCTCCTTCTCAACCTTCTACATCATACTTGCAAGCAGACAGATGACTGGTAGGATCCCCATGCCATCCGGAAAATATAGCTGCAAGGGAGTCTAGGAATTGTAGGTTTTTAACTTTCTAATCTTTGCAGTACAGGATGCACACTGGAAAGCTGGACTAGATATCTGTTTTCTGACTGTCACTGAAAAACTATCTAATGTTCACAGGAAATCTGAAAACAAGGAGAGGTGATTGTCTTACTGGTCACATGAGGAAAACTGAAGTGATGATAAGGAGAGAGGAGAATGACAGGGAGATGAGGGGAATCAGGGACTGTGCTTTGAGCTTGTGAAGCTGAAGAATCTCAGGGGTTGAACTAGATGAAGGGCTGAGCAGGAAGTGTATTCTATGGATAAGGATTAGAATGTGCAAAGAGCCTACAAATAGAAGGGAAGTGATATAATCATAGAGCTGAATGAAAAAGATGTCGCTGTGAGCCAGTACAGGAGGATTCAAAGCAAACCTGAGGAGGTACAAAGGGATGGGCAGACAGGCAAGCCTGAAGGTCTTGTTAGAATCTGGCCTTTGTCCTAAGAAGGATAGGAAAGTAGCCATTCAAGGCTCATGGTGGGGGCAGGAGGAGGGTGCTTAGGGAAGGTGTGCATGGGGCTTGGTCATACATTTCGAAATGGCCACTGTGCTTCCTGATTGCATGATTACAGGTTTTTTGTTTTTTTACTGCAGTCCACAAACATGTCACTGTCCCAACCTGCCCCTCCCTGGGTTTTGTTTTTATGTAATTCCCATGCTGGGCACACGGGTGGGGGATGGGGTCATCCATGCTGGCCTCAGGCTGGGTGGCTAGGCATAGAGAGTGTATCTGTGAGATTTTCCTCGGGGAACAGTGATTGGGCAAATAACTTACTTTCCACATCCAGAGACCCGGAGCTGGTCTGTGGATGCAGGAGGTGAAACAGTAAGACGAGGATGCCACAGCTCACCCTGCTCTCCTTCCTTTGGTACTCCAGAAGACTTTGGCTGGCAGAGGGAGCTACTGTGGCTCCCTCTCAATGCATCCTGCTGCAGGTGGGGAGCACTGGATTGGGGCAAACTGGTGCATTATATTGGATTTAGCTCTCTTAAGCAAACTTAATTGCTCAATTGGAACAATCCTTAGGCACCTCTGTTTCTCCAGCTACAGCTACCAGATAGGAGGAGAAAGGCCAGTCATTTCCATTTATATATTGGAAACTCTGAAAGAAATAAACAAGAATTCAAACCATATGTGTGTGTGTGTGTGTGTGTGTGTGTGTGTGTGTGTGTGTGTGTGTTTAAAGAAATCATGTGAAAACCTAAATGATTAGTGAAGTGTAACAACAGGTGATAATCAGGCTCACAGAGACTAAGGGAAGAGATTGCCAGGGATAAGTGAGGGCAGGACAGGAGTCAGTGAAGATGAGAAGGAAAGATGTTGGTATGGGGAAGTGGGTGTGTGGTGCAGGACCATGTTGGTATTAATTGGTAGTTTTTGTTTGGAAAGATGCAAAAGTCCTGGAGATAGACTGTGGTGGCATTTACACAATAGTGTAGCATACTTAATGCCACTAAGCTGCACACTTACACACGATTAAAATGCTAAATCTGATGCAATTTACATTTTTCTCATCGTAATTTTAAGAAGTCATTAGGAACAGAGCATTGTCTCAATGAGGCGACATAAGCTTGTGACTTTTAGCTCAGATGTTGTGTATATGTGGTTACACTAAAAACAACCTGTTTCCTGAAAACACATAGCTCACCCAGGCCAATGGGCTCCTTTCCTGTGCTTTTGTGCATCCTGAGGCTGTCTCCATAGTGTGCTGGTCAGGAAGTGAATGACTCATGGAGCCTTTATGACAGATCTGTGAATCACACCACACCACACCACACCAACACACACACACACACACACACACACACACACACACACACACACACACGAGGACATGTGAGTCACCCCTGCAGGCTTGTAAAACAGGCAATGATGTGATGCCAGAGAGAGATGTGCCTGGGGGCATAAGAAGGGCAGCAGCCTGCTCATGACCAGTGCATTCTTGAACAGCCTCTCCCAGAGCTTAGTAATGAGCTGAGGCTGTGGCTACAGCTCCTGACCCAGCCCTGCCATGCTCTGTCTGGCCCTCTTTAAGGACACTCTTACTAGCAGCCACAGGGGAATGACAGTAGAGAGGGAATCATATGGTGCCCACTTGGCCACTGTGGGTCACACCTGCTTCAGGGCTCTCTGGCCTCCTAACATGAGGGGCACTGGATTCAGTCACATGGAGACATTTGTGCTAGCACAGTTTGCTTACCTGCCGGGCTGCCCTTACATCCTCCTTGGCATCGGGAGTCAACGTGGGAGTCACTCAACTGTGTTAACATCTTGACTAAGAGGTGAAAATTGAGTTTAGCCTTGGCTTCTCACTAGTTTTGTTTTGTTAACATAGTAGGATCTATAAGCTTTGTGGCCTCAGTCTCTTCATCTTTAAAGTGAAGGAGCTGGGTTGGCATTGGTTAGCACACCTCAAACCCCAGCTCCCTGTACCCAAGACAGACACAGACCTGTTACCTGCTACCTGTGGTCCCTATTCCCAGCACTCTGCCTCTGAGCCCAGGGGATCATGGTCTTTCCCAGATTCTCACACCATCATCTGTTAATTGGGATTAAGCATCTGAAATGATTCCTACTTGCCATCTGAAACCCACAGTGTTGGTCCTCAACCCCAGCTTGTTATATGACTTTTCCTGGTGCATCTGCTTCTGTTCACTCCAAATGGAGAAGGTAATGATGGACCAAAGAAATGAGTCCATCCAAGTCCTGCTTGGTGAACCAGTGAGTTTATCAGGAGCACGGGTGACTCGGGCAGCTGTCTCCTCACTGAAAAGCCCATCCTGGCATGGGTGACGGTGGCATTATTGCCGTCCCCTGCAAAACTGGCAGGCAGTTATACCACTTAGGTGTCCCCTCTCCCCTGACAATTTCATATGGCTTATATAAGCTCAGAAAGGGGGCCTCCTGAGTCTCAGGAGCCTCCCTCCCCTGTCTTTGTGGAATTTTCAACCCAGAGAAAATTGCTATGTAATAGACTATACTTTACAGAGGACTTTTATAAAACACATCTGCCCGAACAGACTGGGACTAATGATCCCTGGGGATACTGGTCCAATAACAATCACTTGGGTATCCAGCGTCACCATATTCTTAAGAAAAAGAGATCAACAGATATATGAGGACAGTGCTACTGTGCACATAATTATTCCATTTTATAAGCTACATACTGCCCCAAGGCACATGTAAAATTGAAATTGGAGTTTTGGTTTATACCTTGTGGTGACTTTGTAAAGATGCAATGGGTGCCATATACAATAGCTCCAGCCGACACCCGGTGGGTGGGCAATGAAATGATGTTTGAGTATATCTGGGAGGTTATGGAATATCACTCACAAATAGAGTTCCATGGTCTTTAAAGGAAGAGTGAGCTCGTATGTGTGGTTGGTTGTTTAGAACTGGTCCTTTGAGTTTTCTAATGTGAAAAATTATGCATGTGATACCTGAAATATTTTCATGAGAAAATATTAAATGCTAAGTAAAAAGAGCAAACTTAGAAAGCCCTCTTGGCCTCTCTGACTCCAGGAGTCCGTGACTGTGAGTGAAGTGTGTCTGTCCATGCCCAGGAGCTTTCCATGACTCCTGGCAAACTACTTAACCTTCTGTGCCTTAGTTCCCCCATCTGCAAATGGGGTTCATAAAATTACTATAAAATTGTATTTATATCTCCCTGTTTAAAATGATCTGTCACTTTGACATGGTTAAACTAACAATAACTCTTTTTTTTTTCTTTCTTTTTTTTTTTTTTTTTCAGGGCTGGAGATCAAACTCAGGGCTTCATGAGTGCTGGGCAAGTGTTCCACCACTGACCTACACACTTAGCCTTCCACAGTAATGCATAGAAAGATTTGTTCTCTACCAAATTCATGTTTATTATGTATATGTTAAAAAACCCCTTTGTCTTCATTTGCATTGAATGTGGGGGCAATGTAAAAGACGATATTTCCTCCCCTGAAGTCAAGTGTGGGAATGAGGCTATTTGGAAAACGTGTACATCTATTACTGACTATATTTCACATGATGAATGGTGGACTCTGGGACCCAAGTCTGGAAGCTTTCAATCCCTTTCTATGCCTCAGTTTCTCTTCCAGAAAGCTAGCTCTCATATTATCCTTTAGACAGGAGGTGTTAAGTAGAATTGTGTGGGAAGTGTTCACTCGATCGTGGGTGGGTAGCAGGTGACATCTCAAATGTTAACCTCGTGGCTGAAAAGCTTAAGATCATGACCTTGTCTCCAGCCTCTCTCCTGACTGCTGAGGGAAGGTAGGAGAAAGAGAGAGACAGTTGGCATCTCGCCTCTAGAAGAATTTTGATTAAGGATAAACATATTCCAAGATGCCATGAAGTTGAAGTCACATGAATGCTAAGTGATTTCTTGGCATCAAAAAATCAATCTCTTTTTTGTCAGTCCTAGAGAAATAAACACTTTCCTCTTCTTCGATACCAGAAATAGCCAGAGAGGCTTCAGCTATTACAGCAAAAGCTTTTAAAATAATTACTTCTAGAATACGATAATATTAATGATTAGCTTTGTGTAAAAATTGAAAAGATAAGTAGTTAAATACTGGGAATAATAAACCTTGGAAGTGTCACTGTGTAATAAGTTTGCCCTTTAAAAGTATCATTTTTCAATTTTTTTTTCTCACAGTGAATTGTTCAGGAAAAGTTAAATTCTTTACTAAATAATCCGTTTTCTATGATTAAGGTTACTTCTTGAAATGATGTCTGATTTTCATAACCTACTGTCAGAACAGTTGAGATCAAGATGTTTAAAGAGTCCTTTTGAGATTGGTTAGTTGTGATGTGCTGCGTGTGCTGGGCACTGTGTGTACACAGTCTTAGTAATTGATGCTCAATTAGCTCTGTGGGGTGGTTATGCCACTCTGTTTTGGAGATGAAGAAACTGAGGCTTGAAGAGGTTAAGCCGGGGCTGGGGAGATGGCTCAGTGAGTACCTGCTGCTCAAAAGTGAGGACCTGAGTTTGATCCCCAGAGCCCATGGGAAACAATGGGTGTGGAGACACTATCTATAACTAGTTCTGGGGAGGTGCAGACAGGTAGATTCCTGGAGCTCATTGGCCAGCCAGGCCAGCCTAATGAGTGACTTCCGGGTTCAGTGAAATAGCCTGTCTCAAAAAAACAAGACACCAACGTTGACCTCTGGCCACCACATACATAAATACATGAGTGTGCATGCATGCACACACACGTGAGTGGAAACACACACACATGCACTCATTCACGAGTGCAGTTTAAGTTATTGGTCAATAAAATTCAATATAAAAGTAAAAAACCTGAGATTCAAGGTCCCTTTGCCTATTTAGGAGCCCAAGTTTCTGGCAAGTTGTCCCACAGACCAGAAGTGTGTCATAATGAGACTAATTACTGCAGGGGTCAGGATTTATCACCAGTCAAAAAGCCCTGGATCATCAGAGGTATGTGTAGCTTGAGTGCGCATGTGTAAAATCATGAAGGCCGCTCGGGGTGGGAGGATGGGGATCGATTGGAAAAAGCCATCTCTCCAGGTCAGATGCCTTTGCCTGGGCCCAGATCAGCTGGCAGAGGAGAAAGGCAGCTGGCAGTCATGTCCTGTCGTGCCCCCACCCCTGTGAGCAAACAGACAGAGCTGGCCGCCAAGAGGGCCCTGGAAAGTGCACTCTCGGTTGGTTGGGAGTGTGGGTTTTATAATTAAATTAAGGAAAAAGGAAGCTACAAGAAAATGCCTAGTGACTCAGAATTAAAGTCCTACCTGCTCTACTCTTTACTACTGCAGTGATAAAATAAATGGCAGGGAGTTTTAAACAGCAAAGACCAGACCTTGGCTTGTCTTTGTATGGACAATTGTTAGGTAACAAATGAAAAGCCTGTATGAGTATTACCTCTCTTTCCACATACATGTACACACAGGAAGGTTAACTGTACACCTGTTAAGATTCCACCCCTTCAGTCTACGCCTCCCCAAAGCAGTCCGTCTGCAGTTGTGTCTTACAAAGGGCACATCTGGGAGGGGGTTTGTTTTGTTGATTTTCTGAGACAGGGTTTCTCTGTGTAGCCCTGGCTGTCCTAGAACTCACTCTGTAGACCAGGCTGGCCTTGAACTCAGAGATCTGCCTGCTTCTGCCTCCTGAGTGCTGGGATTAAAGGTGTGTGTCATCACTGCCTGGGACATCTAGGAGTTTTAACATTGATCACAAATACAATTCCAGTTTCCAATAGTCTACATTGCAATTTCTCAATCCTCCTAGTAATTCTTTTATTTATTTGCTTGAGACAAGGTCTCTTTGGAATTCACTGTGTAAACAAGGCTGGCCTCAGATTCCCGAGTTCAGGGATGAAAGATAATCATCATCACACCTGGCTATTCCGTCATTTATTTTTGAGACAGTATCTCACAATGTAGCCTCGGATGACTTTGAATTCCTGATCCTCCTGCCTCGGCCTTCTGAATGCTGGAGTAATTACAGGATATCACCACCACACCTTAGCTTAATGATGCAGCTTAATTAAAAAATAATTTCCGATCCAGGCTCTAGCCAAGTTTCATGCACTGTAGCTTCTCTTAGGCCTGTTTAGCTTCCCATAATCTGGAGCGATCCTTCCATACTTTTTTCCCCCCACTGATATTTGTGGAGTGTCCAAGTGAGAGACAGTTCAGTTTGAATTCTCCTGATCCTGCCATGATACAACCCAGTTAAGAGACTCGAGTGACCTGCTGGGATTCTTCGAATGTATGTATTACCCATAAGTGTATGCAAACATACATATAGCTGCATAGTTTATGTTGTAAAAGCCTTAGAATTACCTGATTAGAGCCAGGTGTTCTGGCGCCCGCCTTTAATCCCAGTACTTGGGAGGCAGAGGCAGGCAGATCTCTATGAGGTCAGCCGGGTCTATATATACACAGTGAGTTCCAGGACAGCCGGTTACATATTGAGACCCTGTCTTGAAAGCACCAACAAACAAGCAAACAAAAGAATTAAAGGATTAGAAAATCAAGTTGTTTTTTAAATTAAAAAGTTTTTAGGGGGCTGGAGAGATGGCTTAGTGGTTAAGAGCACTGGCTGTTCTTCCAGAGGACCTGAGTTCCATTCCCAGCACCCACATGGCAGCTCACAACTGTCTGTAACTCCAGTTCCAGGGAATCTGACACCTTCACACAGACACACATACAGGCAAAACACAAATGCATATAAAATAAAAATAAATCAATTATTAAAAAATAAAGTAAAAAGGTTTTATTTTGTATGTATGGGTGCTTGCTTGAGTTACTGGAGTTACAGAGGTTTTGAACTACTGTGTGTGTGTGATGGGAAACCAAGCCCGGTCCTCTCGAGGAGCAGCCAGTACTCTTAAACAAGGAGCCACCTCCCAGCCCTAGATGGTTTTTGTTTGTTTTGGTTTTTCTTGACTGGGTTTCTCTGCATAGCCCTGACTGTCCTGAAACTAGCTCTGTAGCCCAGGCTGGCCTCCAACTCAGAGATCCGCCTGCCTCTGCCTCCTGAGTGCTGGGATCAAAGGTGTGAACCACCACCACCCGGCTCCTAAATGTTTTGTTTTAAAGCAGGAAATATCCAAGTTCCTCTGCTTCTTTCCCTTTGCCTGAGGGACACGAAGGATAGGTTTTGTGTTTCTGTCCTGAAAACATTTTTTTCTTTTCTTTTTTTTTTTTAAACAAAAATGCCAGTCTGCCTGTCCCCACTCTAAGGAGTGGCCGGGGAAAGGCACTTTATCCTCTGTGGTTCAGTGAGGGCAAACTCCTAGGCTTCAGGGTGTCTTTCAGTTCCCTGGACTGGACACATTCATCTCCACCCTGCTGCTTTCTTGGCTGGCCTCTGTAAGAGCCTCCTTGGGCTTGCATAAGACTCAGCCTTACAATGATTAACACCGACCAAGGTCAGTATACAAGGAGCGGCTGCCACCGGGCCACCTAATCAAATGTTTCCTTTATTGGGTTGATTGGGGGAAATTGGTGGCTGATTAACTCTGGAAAGCTTTTAACAAGTTCCAATTTTGTAATCTGAGGCTGGACTCAGGAATGAAGCCTTCTGCTAAAGATGAAGGTTAAGACAACCCCCTACTTAAAGTCTAGCATTTAAAAATTTCATATAACAGACAATCTGTCATTTGGGGATGTCTAATCTATTCTCGATGATGTCGTTATCACTACTATTTAATTGCAAAGTGTCACCACTGGCCACTCTCCTTCTTTCTCCACTCAGGGCTTGTTATTCACAAATCTGCTTCCTGTCTCTATAGATCTGCCAATTTGGAAGTTTCATGAAATCACCCAACATGTGGCCTTTTGTGGCTTCTTTCACTTAGCATGAACTTTTTTTTTTATTATTTTTATTTTTTTTTTCAAGACAGGGTTTCTCTGTGTGGTTTTGGTATCTGTCCTGGATCTCACTCTGTAGACCAGGCTGGCCTCAAACTCACAGAGATCTGCCTGGGATTAAAGGCATGCACCGCCACCGCCCAGCTAGCATGAACTTTTATAACATTAAAAATATATTAATTATTGTGTGTATGTGTGTGTGTGTATGGTTTGTGTGTATGGTGTGTGTGTGTGTGTGTGTGTGTGTGTGTGTGTGTGTGTGTAGGTTAGAGGACAGCTCTGCGAAGTCTATTCACTCCTTCCACCTTTATATGAATTCCAGTCTGGGGGTTGAACTTAGGTTGTCAGACTTACGCATCTGGCCCCTTAGCCACTGAGGCATCTTGTCTTCCCTAGCACAGTCTGTCTGAGACTTACCTATGACATTTGCTGGATCGAGCTTCACTGCTTTTTATGGTGGGATAATATTCAGTCTATGAGTAATCACAATAAAAATTCACGTATCAGTGGATGGCTCGTTTTCAAAATGAGCTGGAAACCTTGGATGAAGGGAGGGAGCCTCCTGCATGGAATTTTTAAAAACTGCAACAATCAAAACTGCATGTCAGCAATTTCTTTCCACCCCCAGTTTACCATGCTAAATAAATTGTTCCATCAGGTCCCTGGCAATGGCATGTTGGAAGCTAAAAAGCAGAATGACGTCTTGACCAGAAAATGGAGTCTCTAAGGTATGTGACAACAACAACAATCTTCTCCTGACACCCACCCTCCTACACAGCCCCTCCTGAGTGGTAAGCCCCAGAGCTCCAAGCCACCTGAGTGAGCCAGGCTCAAGGAAGAGGGACCGGTGATGCCACACCCACAGGGCAGCCTAGGGATGGGCAATCAGGCTCCACCACCCAGAGAGCTGCATCCCTGGACTTCTGATGTGCTTATTGCCTGCAAAGCCCCAGGACATTCCTTCTCTTTGAACAAATAATTCAGGATGGCTGCCATCAATACGGCTCTGCCCGCTGCTGCTTGCTTCAGCCAGACTGTGTGTGTGTATGTGTGTGTCTGTAATCACCTAGACAGGGATTAGCAAGAAACTATTTAAGAATTCATTTGATGGTTAATGATGGAAAATCCCAGGATTTAAAAGGAGCAGAGTCGGGCGGGGGGGATGGGGAGAGTCTGACTGGTTTTCCAGAGAGATGCAAAATCCTTCACCTTCCCTATAATTACGGTCTCAGCCTTACTGGGGGGCAGGGAGAGAAGTCGACAACACTCTGAGTGCAGGAAGGTAATGTCACCTCGCTGATCCCTTGGTGACACCGGGCATTGTTTAAGCAAAGAAATCTGATGACAAATAGCCACTTTCCCTGCCCCCTTCCCAAGCCTGTCCCAGGCTTTTCCATACTCTGCCCTTTGCAGACCTCAACAAGAAAGGCTGCTGCCAGCCAGGGAGTGGAGCCGAGTTCAGGACCGGGGACCCCAAAGACGGGAGGGGCTTCCAGGTTGTCTTCCATATTTCCTCTCGCGTGAATCCAGATGGCCATAGAGTGTCTTCCCACAAGCTCCCTTACCACTCCTTTTCGTTTATCCACACTCCCTTTCTCTGTTTTTCTTCTGATTCCCCTCAAAAGCCCGGCAGCTGTCTCTCCATGGCCAAGGCACTTGCCAGTGGGTAATGCTTTCTTCTTTCAGCATGGACCCTGGCTGCTTCTACCAACCATCACCCTGAGGTCTCTGTCAAGGCCAGCCAGAGGAGGAAGGGGGCAGCATCTTGCTTTGAAGGTTCTGACGCAGCCTAACAATCAGCACATGTTTTTTGAGACCCACTGGAGGATATGGGTGTGGTGGGGAGGGATCAAGTGTTTGGCCTATCCCAGGGGATATTAGTCACCCAAATTATGTCTCAGGATTGAAAAAAATGTCAGACAAGTTCATACATGGGGAGTAGCCATCAGGCTGGCCACTCCTTGTTGGAACTTGAGGTTTGGAATTCTGATTTGCCTTCTTTTTCTTCCCTGAATTGAATAAAGCCTTCAAGAAGCGTGCTGGGAACTTTTGGGAATACAATTTCCTTAACGAGGAAGCATAACAATGATATCCATATACATATATGTAAATGTCACAATGGAACCCATTATTTTGTACGACAATTTAAACAAACTAATAAAAAAAATAAGATTGATTTTAAAAAGGAAAGAGAGAACGGAGAGTACAGTAGGTAGGCACGATTGTAACAGGTGTGAACCCACCCCTCCCTCGAATCATCTCCCCACCATCTGAAGGTGGACCGCTGAGTGGGTCCCTATGGTCAGGGCAGACTGAAAAACTGCAGGGGAAAGAAAACAAAATCAAGGAGACGGAAGGAGTTGGTGGCGGGGGTGAGGGGTAGGGGGTACTCCAGGATGAACTCCAGTTTTTGAAAAGTCGTATCTGTTAGTAGAACAAGTCATTGCACTGGGTAGAGTCTACAGGGCAAGTCAGAGGGACCAGACCGTCCAGGAAAGGCTGGGGTTGCTAGATCATCACCACATTCCACAAGTCAAGTGAGGACCTCCGAGAATGCTCAAGAGGCAGAAACAGGGGGATCCTGTTCTCTGGCTAACCAGTCTAGCTGAATCCTGAGCTCCACCGACAGATGTGTCTGGGGAAAAAAGAGGAGAAAGTGATTTGAGGAAAACACTGCCTTGACCTCTGGCCTACACACACACACACACACACACACACACACACACACACACACACACACAAGCAAAATTATCAAGAGAGCAATTTTTAAATGTTCCTATCAACACATACAAAGAAAATGCTAACCACTTCAAAATATAAACCTATGTCCAAACATCACATCGCACCCCACAAATATGTACAATTATTTTCTGTGATTAAACCTCATATGAAAAATGTCTGGAAGGTTTCCATGACGTTTCACATCTTAAATCAGTAAGGAGCATGAATAAAGTATAAGGACACATGTATGAAAATGTCATATTGAAACTCATTGCTATCGGTGCTAACTTTAAATATTGATTTAAAAATAAAATGAAATAGAGCAAGACGGGAGAAAAACGCCTTTCTGAGGAGTCTGGCAGGTGGTCCAGTGGAGGAGGGCCTCAGTTCTGTCTCCTTGTGGAGACTTGGAAGCTGTAACTCTCTTGTTTTCCCGGGAGCAGGAGAGCCCTTGGCAGGAACAGCTTTCTGCAAGCAGCCCCTCTCCAGAGTGTGTGTGTGTGTGTGTGTGTGTGTGTGTGTGTGTGTGTGTGTGTAGGGGTGTTGTCACTACCCAATGCACTGACACTGGCTGCTGCTGCTTCTGTCCTAACGGTCAGATTCCCACAGAGCAGGCCGGCCTGAGAAGCAAGGCTGGTGGCCAGTCTGACTGTAGGAACCTGTTCTGCGGGTCACGGTTAGCCCCAGACCCTCTCTTAGGGTAGGCTGACCCCGTGGACCTGTCCAGCCAAAGGTCACACCTGTGCCTCCAAATACAGCAGCTGAGGCCTCCCCCACCCAGAGAACGCTAGCTCGGGCTGTTCTTTGGTGGGTGAGTCGGGTGTTTCCACTACTTTGTGCCGATCCTACACCCACCCAGCCTTCCAATTCTCAGGTTTTTAAGAAGAAAACAACCGGTAAAAAAAAAAAAAAGAAAAGAAAAGAAAAGAAAAGGAAGGAAGGAAGGAGGAGGAGGAGGAAGAAAGAAAGAAAGAAAAGAAAGAAAGAAGAAAGAAGAGAGAGAGAGAAAGGAAGAAGAGAGAGAGAAAGGAAGGAAGGGAGGGAGGGAGGGAGGGAGGGAGGAAGAAAAAGACAGTTTGCAGTTTGACTGATGCAGAATTCTAAAAATGACAAAAAACAAACCAACCACCCGGTTATGGGGTAAGAGCTGTGTCGCACAGACACATTCAGGCTCTAGGGGTGAATCCACACCCACATGGTGGGTGACTGTTTCAACGTCACGAGAACCGGAGGAGGCTCCCCTTCTTCACCTTGTTGCCGGAGGAGCGGGAGGGCCCGCAGAGTCGGCCGCTTTCCCTCTTGGCTGAGCGTCCTGCTGCGGGCTTCCCTTTCTCTCCGGCTCAGGCCTGCCCCGCCCCCACCTCAAAGCCGACGGAGGTCTTTGTATCAGCCGAGAAGGGAGGAGCTGGAATTAGATTGTGTGGGAGGTCAGCAAAGCCGAGAGAGGGAACCCAGGGGACAGAATTTTCCTAAGTGACTTTGCAGGTTCTTGACAGCCCCTGCCCCCACCGGGTCTCCCATCCACGTTTCACTGTGACGGTAGGTAACTACTGAATCCAAGCACCTTACACTCGGGCCGGGCATGCGGCTCAATGATACAGGGCTTGCCCAGCCTGTGGGAGGCCCCGGGCTGGATCATCATTGTTCTTGGTGGGGAGGAGTGACCTTACAGGTTGTTCCCAGGGCTTCCCTTCCCCCCCATTCGCTCCTGAACTTACAGACGGATGCCTGAACGTGCTCTCTCTCGGTGCTGGCTACATTTCAGCCAAGCGTACACTGCCTGGGTGTCTGCTGAGGGTGCACTGGTGAGCCAGAGTCCTGCTTTTACAGAGCTGTCACCCAGAGCGCTAGTCTCCAAACTTTAGTCACTGCACATTCATACAGGAACGAAATTGAGTTGCCCTTCCCATTTTTATGTATTGATAAATTACATGATGTATTGCTATATTATATTATATATATGTTTTATATATATATATATATATGAAATTACGTGCATCATCACATATATGAGCTTAATCCAGATAAGTTTTTTTAAAGTTGAGAATTGTGCAAATGACCCGTCACTGCCTCCAGCTCTAGACCCCACGGGTCAGTTCACAAGCAGTTGCTCCTGAGAGCCACCAAGACCATCTTTTCTAGGAAACGGATCTCACTGCCCAATGAAGCCATGGGTCAGAGCACTGACCAGCAGATCTGGCCCTAGGCGGGAGACCTGGCTGCAAAAGGAGCAGGCACAGGCTGGTTTCTGGCTTGCTTCGCTTCTACCATGAGAAAGGAAGTACCTCTAAGGTGTGCAACTCCCCAAGTGTAGGAATGATTGATGTCAGGGGTTTGGGATGCAGCTGCTTTCACCACATCAGATGCTCTGCTGTGGCCAGCAGAATTAAAGAAAAGCAGGACCATTTAACCATTCATTATCTTGGCAAAAAGCTGAGGACAAAACTGCTGCCTCCGGCAATAAGAAGAGCAAACGAGAGCCGGGTCGGCGATGGTGCACACCTTTAATCCCAGCACTCGGGAGGCAGAGGCAGAGGCAGGCGGATCTCTGTGAGTTCGAGGCCAGACTAGTCTACAGAACAAGATCCAGGACAGGCACCAAAACTAGACAGGGAAACCTTGTCTCGACAAACAAACAAACAATCAAACAAACAAACAAATCTTTAAAAATGCTATTGAGCTCTTGGGCAGTAGGGGTGCATGCCTTTAATCTCAGCCCTGGGGAGGCAGAGGCAAGAGGATCTATGTAGGCCAGCTTGGTCTACAAAGAGAGTTCTAGGACAGCCAGGGCTGTTACACAGAGAAAACTCTGTTCCAAAAACAAAACAAACCAAAACAAACAAAAAAAATTACTATTGAGCAAAAATCCTATTTGGGGCCCGAAAGTCAAACTACTAAATGCAGAGTGTGGAGGCGCACAGAAATCACCTCACCCTACTTTTGTTTTGACCTTCCATTCCACAGCTATTTCTAAAATGTATTCCACTCTGTGTTTAGAAGGGCATTATTTATTACTTGAACAAAAACAGCAATTGGTTTCCGTTAATACCAATAAGCTTTGCCAAATCAACCAGCCTCCTGAATCAACAACAGTGACAAAATAAATAAATTGCAGCATCATTAAGAGTTACTTAAAAGGTAAAATGAAAGGCCTTCTCTGACCTTCATCCCGATTCATCTCTCATACACAAAACATTTTCCTCTCTAATTTCTGTCCCTTTACGTCCTTCCAGGCCTTGACCCAGCACCACACAGACAGACATAGTCTTAACACGGAGTCACACCTTTCTAGCTTGCGATTTTGCACAGGAGATTTGAGCTTCCCTGGAGTCTGGAACTGCACAGCCTTCCAGGGACCCTTGTCCAGCCTTGGCTGCACATACATTCGACCTTAATCCACCTCATTCCTGAACCCTCGTTTTTTGTTTTGTTTGTTTGGATTTTTGTTTGTTGTTTGTTTTGAGACAGGGTTTCTCTGTGTAGCTTTGGAGCCTGTCCTGGATCTTGCTCTGTAGCCCAGGCTGGCCTTGAACTCACAGAGATTCACCTGCCTCTGCCTCCCAAGTGCTGGGATTAAATGTGTGAGCCATTACTGCCCAGTTACAGCAGTTAGCAGGATAGAATTTTATGTGCCCCACCGCTGCCCAGCTCAGTAGTATTTTTAAAAACTAAAATGATCTAGCATTTTAAAAATGAAAATCTGGTGAATCCTTTAATATTGTTTAAGTAATTTATGTCCCTTTAAAAAAGTAAGTCTTCTGCTTTTTCTGCCTTGGTATGTTCAGGTCTTGCAGGTGTAGAATCGCTAGGTCCTGATGTTGTCATATAGGTCTTATGTTGTTGCCTGTATTTTTGCACTGACGTCTACTCATCTCTTCCTCTGCTTGGTGCAGGCGGTGTCTGTGTCTGAAGGTGCCTCTCCTGTTCTGATAGTCTTGGTCCACTAGGAGTTCTTGGTCGAATCGGTGCTGTTGGGCTCTGTTTCTCCAGGAACAGCTTAGTCCAATCAGTGTTAGTGGGTTCTCTCTCAGGGAGCAGCTGTTCCAATTGGTGCAGTGGTTGTTGGGTTCGTAGGGGTTGGTTTTCTTTTTGGTTTGGTTTTGTTTTCTGGTGGGGGAGCAGGGAAAGGTAGCTGTCTGGTCCCTGGGACTCCCGTGGCTGGGGCCTAGGGGTTAGAGACCTGGTCTGCTGATCCAGAGATGGGGGCTTACCTGTTCCCAGTCGGTGTAGGGTAGGCTTATGATTCTGGTGATCTGATTCGGTGGTTGGCGGTGCCTTTTTTTGTGTTCTCTGGTCACGATTTGCTCATTGTCAGCTCCTCAGCT